TTCTAAAACACTGTATGATATAAAATAGTTTTCAAAAAAACAATATATTGTAGAACATGGAAAATAAAGATTTTTGCTTTTGTTGTTATAGTTGACAGACCAAATAAGTAACTATATCTATCTGTATTGATATAAATCTGTAATACTCCATATATAGTTATATATATTATGTATATATACTATACTATATGTTATGTGTATAATATAAATTGTTATATATCATATATGCTATATATTGTCATATATTATATATATTATATATGTTAGACATATCATGTACATATAAGTTACAGAGTAACTATGTTAAAAAACTTATTGCTATGAAGATGAGAATAATGTACTCATTAATATTTATGCGCTTAAGTTGAATACAATTCGCTAAAGTCTTTATAGTAACTCATTCACTCATTCATTTACTTGACTATTGTTCACAAATATTCATTCAGCACTTACTATGTAGCATGCGTTTTTCTAAGAGCTAGAGATAAAGACTTCATAAAATGGATAGGGTCCCTGTTTCTGAGGAGCATAAATTTGGGAAAGGAGCTAGTAACAAATGGAGCTATAACTGTATATCTTTAGGCATCAGCTTTCTGTTAAAAAAAGAAGCTAAGTAGATACAGACTGACAAGAGTGTTTTATCTTATTTTTAAAGTATATTTATTTATTTATTTATTTGAGAGGAGGATAGAGAAACAGATAGGGAGACAGAATTTCTGACTGCTAGTTCACTCCTCAAATGCCCACAACGACCAGGAGCTGAAGCTGCAGCCAGAAAAAAAAAAATCCAGAAATTCAATCACTTGAGCAATCATTGCTGCCTCCCAGGGTCCTCACCACCAGGAAAAAGCAGGATATGGGAGCCAAAACTGAAAATCAAGCCCAGGTAATATAATGTGGAGCATTATTTGCTCCACAAAACATTTGCCATTTGCTAAACAAAATACATGCCTCTGCTTTTATTTTTTTCTTTTTTATCAAGCTAAAAAAAGTGTACTTTTTTTAGAAAAGTATACTCTTCTAGAGAAATGACCTTGGAACAGAGACCTGAGGAAATGTAAGGACAGAGTATGTGACAATTAGGGGAATAGTTGTCATGCAGAAAGTACAGCAATTACACAAGTCTCACGGCAGCTCCATGCTAGGAGGAGCAAGCATTTGGAAAGTCTGTAATGTTGGAGTGCAGGTAATACTATATATATATATATATATATATATATACACACACACACACATATATACACACACACTATATATATCATACATATCAAAAATATTGGAGAAAATTTTTGGAAAAATAAATTTGGTTCTTTAATAAGCCTCTGTAGATAATTTTGAGGCCACAAATTTTATTTTACTGCCTTTTAGTACATTTTGTTATTTCTATCACCAATTTTCTCTATAAATGTACTTCTTACAAAAATTTATTAAATAATGACTGCTTTCCATGGGCGGTTGATTTACACATTTATTAATTGCTGTACTTAGTACCTGAACACATAATCAGCTCTCAGCTAAGTAGAACTGAAAGAGTAAAAGATGTCACTTGAATGCTTAAAGACCTGCACTGGAAGATAGGATACAGGTGCGCATAACTGCAGCGATGTGAGTCATCCACATGAGGATGATGTCAGTGTAGAATCCAGTGATACCAAAGTGTTCCTGGAAGAGGAGAGATTTAAGTTTCTGTGTTTTGGTCTGCCAGCTACTGTCCTACCGTTTTATTCCTTTAATCTTCTAGCATAATTTATAACCCAGATACACCATGTTCCAGATACACTGGTTGCTGTCTAGGTGAGTGAGTGCTGCTTTAGTAAGTGAATATAAGGGACAACTGAAGGCAGACAATGACAATTTCAGTGTTCAAATGTCAAACTTGTTATTTTGTAATGTTGCATGTAAACACAATAATCATCTCTAACCATTTATGTTATAGTGTCCAAGACACTATAGTCAAAACATTTTAAAAACCACACTCACACACACAAGCACTACCTTATCTAAGAGAAATGGGTTGTCCTGGAAATGACTTGAATTACATATGTTTCAAAATAGCTATGCAAATGGAACACCCAAAATGTGCACATAAATGAGCAAATCAAGTAGATCAATTTTAGAATTAAACTAATGGACTCTCTAGTTGTATCCTGCATTATTCTCATCTCCAATAACAATGCTGCTTTTTTTATATACAATGAAAAATTTGCATTTATTTTATGGCTTTTTCAATTAAACTGACACACTCTTTTCACTCACTGCTAAAGGTAGTAGATCTGTTCCTATACTTTTCCTTGTAGTCTCCTCACTGTTTTGGTGCTCATGCTTGCAGAATCCTTCTATTTTCTTTCTGCCTGGATCCTGACGTTCAGACATTGAGGGCATCCTAATCCCCTCGACAGCTCTGCAAGGTCTCCAGTGTCTCAGCATTTGCAATCATGTGAACTCTGTACAGGAGATGATTAGGACCATATCTGTGGTGTTAGGTGGTGGGAGTTCTAAGTCTTTATTCACCACATACAAGTTGGGTAACCTAGGATAAATTAGTTGTTTTTGGGATTTCAATTTTATCATCTACAAAATTCAACTACTCTTAGTCCCTCTCTCTCAGAGTTGGTGGGGAAATAATTATTGCTGATCCTCATACTCTTCACCTTTCCACAATAGCCACATGGGAGCATTCCATAGCATTCAGGTCACTTTACCTTTATCCAATTTATTCAAGCAGTAGCACATCAAATCGAGTATACTTATTCAAGTTTTAACTTTTTTCATTATTTATTTTGGCTGAGATCGATTTTAATAATCTATGGCATGGCCGGCACGGCGACTCACTAGGCTAATCCTGCACCTTGCGGCGCCAGCACACTGGGTTCTAGTCCCGGTCGGGGCGCCAGATTCTGTCGCGGTCGCCCCTCTTCCAGGCCAGCTCTCTGCTGTGGCCAGGGAGTGCAGTGGAGGATGGCCCAAGTCCTTGGGCCCTGCACCCCATGGGAGACCAGGAGAAGTACCTGGCTCCTGCCATCGGATCAGCGCGGTGCGCCGGCTGTAGTACGCCGGCCGCGGCAGCCATTGGAGGGTGAACCAACAGCAAAAGGAAGACCTTTGTCTCTGTCTCTCTCTCTCACTGTCCACTCTGCATGTCAAAAAAAAAAAAAAAAGAATTAAAAAAAATAATAATCTATGGCATGGAAAGTCACTGATATGGATTTAAAAATTATAGTTAAGAGGAATAAGTTCAAGAAACTTATGAGCATTGAGTAAATTAGCATTTAGTAAATATTAATATATTATATTGTTTAAAATTAGCATAAGGCTATTTTAAGGGTTTTCACCAAAAATTCAAAAGTGTGTTAATTAATGCATACACTGATGAGCTTATTTCAGCCATTTGCAATGTACTATTATTTCAAAATATCATGTTGCATGTGATAAACACAAGGGACTTCAAAAGATATGTTGAAAAATAGAATCAAAAGATAACATACATTTTCTATTAACTTTCTGAAGACAATTCATAAAGCAATTTGCATTTGTGAATTCGAAAACAACTTAAGAATCTTTTAATACAAGATAAATTCATTTGGCATTGGACAGACTTGGAATGGATTTGTGGTTTGGATGTGAGGCATTATGCTTAAGCTTGTCATGAGATGACACATTGGAAAATTTTAATATATGTTAGAATGTATATTAGAAGCATCTAGAGGCCAGGGAAGGGCACTCCTTGTGCCTGTGTTACACCTGCATTCCTGGAGCATAGCCAGTAAGCACTCCTTAATCTAAGGACTAAGGGCAAGTCTATGAAATACTCAATAATCTGATTAATTTAGTGAGATGTTAAAATAAAATTGCATTATGCTTTTCTCTTGTGATATGTGAAACTTCTGTGAGAATTATGCAGCTATGTGGTAACTAAGATCAATGAAGGCCTATTTAAATTCTCAAATCTAAGTTAAGTCAAAGGACAAAACCTATATTTATCTTTTCATGTTTGTGTATATAAATGGTTACTAAAAATTAATTTAATATCTAAAGAAGAAATCCTATTCCAGTTGTTAGCCCTGCAATACCAAAACAACAAATTCCATTCATTGACATATATTTTCTTCCAGACCTTGATATTCACACTATGCATTTTATCTTTATGTCTGCTCATTCTTAAATTGAAGATAAAATTCTGATTCCTAATGATTTAGTTTTAGAAAAACATACCTTTTCATATAATTACAGGCTTTTCAGTACTAAAACCTTCAAAGGAAGGTTATTATCCTGCTAGTATTCAATATTAAGATTCTTTCAGTTTTTTTAAACTATATTGTAAATAATGCTCTCCCCACCCATCAACCCACTGCACGACCAAAATGCCCATACTTTCTTTTCTATTATTCCCTCCTTGATTTTTACAAATCAAAGAAATGGCCATTTCACTTGAACCTCCTTAACCTTTTGATTCCACTTCTTGAGGTTACTTAAGTACATGAAATACCTCTTCTATTAGAAGTGTAGTGATCTTTGGGACATCATTTAATTCCTTTAATTATTTAGCACATGCTAGTGTTCTCTAAACATTTGTTAAATAAATGTCAAAAGGACAATTAAGAAATATAACGATTTTCCTTCTATGTAGCTTTTATTTTCAACACTCATTGTCAACATAGTCACTTGTTTTCACATTTGCCCGGGAGATTATATTTCCTTTAACTTAAATGTAGAGTTGCTGAAATTCAAACATAAACTTTTATAATTGGCATAAATATTGACTTATTTAAAATTAGCCTTGGCGAAATAAATTTGAACACTCAGGAAATTCACAAAATTACTAATTATTCTTACTTGACTCTGCTTCTTGCTTGGCATTTTCTCTCACTAGGACATGAATATATTATATTTGCATATTATATTTGTATACACATGCATATGAATATATGTATATCCATATTTTCTAACATTATTTGAACTTTATCTCTCTGAATTAAAAGTATGATTTATAAGTCAAATATTCTGCATTTCAGATGCTTAACTATGACTTGAAATAATGGATATCAAAGAATGAGAATTATATTAATTTATACACACATACGTGTTTGTTGATGACTAGAATATTGTTATCATTATGCACTCATTCAAACAACTGAGGTTTCTGGAATCCAGTTTGTGGTCTCCAACAGCACCTTTGGAATATGGTTCCTAATTATGACACAGTGATTAACCAGATCTGTAGTAAAAATCCAAGAAAAATTAAATTATATGCTAGAGTAAATATGTGAAAGAAATTTCAGGAAAGGAAGAGTGAAAAGAAAGACAAAATGGTTCACAGTTTGCCTGAAACAAAAATGCAATATCAGTTTTCAGAATGATTGAATACCACATCTTTGACAAATATTCACCTAAACTGAGAAAGTGTAGAACTCACACAAACAGAAAACATCTTGACTACAATCAAGAATGAAATATATTGCCATCAAAGGAATGAAAATTCACATTTAAGAAGATGTCACATGACCAGGAGAGAAATTGGAAGCAGTGGAATGATAACTTTAAAGAGTGAATGAAAAACAACTGTCAATCTAATATAAAGTGAAACTTTAATTCAGGAGCGAATCTAAATGAAAAAAAAAAAAAAGAAACATGTACAATAAAAAGAATACGAATTAACAATTTATAAACTCTCCCTGGAAAGGAACATATCAAGGAATGATAATCTGTAAAAGGAAATTTAACCCCAGCCAAAAAAAAGAATGTAATGGATCATGAAGAAATATACTGAAAAAAAAAGGAGGTTAGGGGCCAGTATTGTGTAATAGGTAAATCTACTGCCTGCAATGCTGGCATTCCATATGCACAATAGTTGTGTTCTACCATATTTACTTCTGATCTGGCTTTCTGTTAATGGGCTGGAAAGGCTGCTGAATCCAAGTGCCTGGGTCCCTGCCACCCATGTGGGAGACTTGGAAGAAGCTCCGGGCTTCTGGCTTTGGTCTGGCCCTAACTAGGTAGTTTCAGCCACTTCAGGAGTGAATCAGCAGATGGTACATCAATCTCTCTCTCTTTCTCTCCCTCTCTCTCTCTCTCTCTCTTTCCTTCTCTCTGCAACTATAACTTTTAAGTAATAAATAAATTTTTAAAAGAGAAAGAAAAACACATAAGTTAAAAATAAGTAAGCTTGATCTGTGAAAAAAATATCTTAGATAGCTAGTGGTTTGAGACAATGCATTTTACAAGAGTAAAACAAAGCTAATTGCCAATCTAGATTAGGAAGAAAAAGTTTAGTGTGTATGTTCTCTGAAGTCCCACTGAGTTTGAAAGGAGATTAGACATATTGATTACATTCAAACTGTTTTAAGTACATACATTAAAAATTTAACTCTTTACTTAGTGTAGGATTAACTATATGTTCATTAAGTAACATGAAAATAGAACTTTGTAAAAATTAAGAGTGGGAATGTGAGAGAGAAGAGGAGGAAGTGTTGGAACGTGGGTGAGAGGGAGGGTATAGGGCAGGGTGTATATATGACACACAAAGTATAAAGTACTGTTTGAAGACTAGTTTTACCATTAGTTCTCATAGTACAACACATTAAGGAGAGAAGTCTTACATGGGGAGCAAGTGCACAGTGACTCCTGTTGTTGATTTAACAATTGACACTTTTATTATGACGTCAGTACTACATGACTCTTGATAAGTTATTCAAGTTCTCTAGATCCTACTTGCTTAATTTTCAAATTTTACAATATGAACTATTCCCTTTCAGGGCAGTTTTAAGAATGTGAAGTGTATAGGCATTGTACATGTAAAAATATGCATCTAATATATGGTAACTGGAAGAAATAAAGACATAATAAGATGAAACCAAGGGAAAGGAAAGTTGAAAAAAAGCAAGGTTGATAGCAAGGCATTTAGGTTTCTGAAAATGGCAGATTGAGATCACTAATGAATTTCACTTGAGCATTCTGTATAGAAAGATAAGGGAAAAAGACTGTAAGCATGAATTGAAGAGGGGGAAAGAACAGATAAAGTTCTTGCAGTATAATGTTTGAAGTAAGGAGGTGAGGAAAAATGATTTTTTTATTCATAGAGGTGAAAGAGAAAATGGGAATTTTAGAAACAGCAGACTGTGAATATGAACTATTTTAAGTAGTTTGCTTGTGGAGGAAAATAGGTCAGTGACTAGAGGTAGAAAGTGGGAATGTGCGTATTTGAGGATTCTTGCATGTTAAACTGACTGGACAGGTCCAATAGCAAGAGAGCCGGTGGGAACACAGTATTACAAAGAGACCAATGCTAGCTCAAGGATTTAGAAAAGACAGTAAAGGTAGGAATTAAAATGAGAGATGGAAGAGTTGGCCCTAAGCAAGAAAAACACATCCTGAGATTAGAAGGAAGTTGAGTTCTGAGTCCTGACAGTGATAAGTGATTGCATGTGAAGACAGGACATTGAAGAATTTTGTGTCTCGTAGCTTCAAATGCTTCTCTAAAAGCTATGGGATAATGTCGTCCAGTGCAAAAGAATTTATGCAATTTATACTATGTTGGTGGTCATTGCTTGCTTCTTTCCTATCAAGTGTGAGGAATCAGAGGGTAGATGTTGCAGTGAAACAGGTTAAGCTGGAATTTGGGATGCCTATGTCCAATATCAGAGTGCCTAGGTGGACGCCCTGCTACTCTGTTTCCATCCCAGCTTCATAATGTGTACCCTGGTTAGCAGCAGATGAGGGCCCAAGCTTGGTTTCCTGCCACCTATGTGTGAGACCAAGATGAAAGTCTGAGCTTTCTGAGCTGCTGGCTTTGGCCCTGACTGTTGCAGGGATTTGGGTAGTAAACTAAAGTATCTCTCTCTGCCTTTCAAATGCATAAAACTTTCAAAAAAGAATGAAAACTCAAACACTGGAATATTCCTACTGATGGAAAGACAGAATTCAGGCCCAACAATCCTCTTCTAAAGAAGAATTTTTGTATGTGAACAATCATTGTTTGAGGCTTCAAATCACCACTCTCATTTCAGAAACTTAGGAAATGCCCACAGAAGGAAATGACATGTGCCAGTTACTGGCAAAGACTTTTGGGAAATAAACAAGAACCAAGACTCCACATTTCGATGTCCTCTACAAAATCAGCTTCCCAAAAATAGACTCATACAAGCTGTAGTCACACTTGAATGTCATGTTTCTATTATTGTGATGACATAAAATCATTAAACTACTGCTAGTAGTAGTAAAAGCAGTCATGTCTGGTAATAGAGCTTCTCTGTGCCCATTGAAAGATAATTGCATTTTAAATGACATATGGTGAGCAATGTCCTTTTGAGATGAGTGGCATGGATGGAGGTTAGACTTCCAAAGTAATGTATTAAATGTCCTCCTGTGATATTGCTCTTTGATACTCAAGCAAGTAGTTCTGAATAATGCTGTCAAATGACTGGTGCTTTGTGAAAAGGGGGAATAAGAAGGTTTCCTGTTACTTAAGGGCCATCCATTACATTTTTAGTAATAATTACTAAGTTTCAGATAACTGAGAAAATATTCTTAACATGGAAATTCAATCACCCTCCCTTAATCTCTTATGAATTTTTGTCTAGACTACTGTTTTTGTCACATACATCACACAAAGCAGAAGCTTGATTGCCTTCTATGTATCACACACATTGTCTCAAGTAATCCTCAAATAATCCAATGAGATACATATGGCCATGGACAAATGTGTACGACAGTATTTTGAGATTGAACACAATCTTCTCAAGATCAATTGGATTTCAATTCATGTTTGAATTAGACAATTGAGATTTCAGGGAGACATTGAATCAAATGTTTCTTCCAAGTTCTAAAATGAATAGGTAAGAAAGTGTTGGTGTCCTGAGATCTTCAAATATCAATTTTATCATCAATAAAGCTGTATTGATAAAAATACTCTGTATATAAAGCAAAAACAACAACTACAAAACAAATTGTACATTGGACTAGTATCATCACCCTAAAACTAGCCCTTAGAATGAGAAGTGTAGGTACACAGACAGTAATTTTCAAGGAGAAATTAAGCTTCCCTTGTACCTTTCAAGACAGAGTAATGCAGGTGGATTTTCCCAATAAAATAAAGATATTCCTTTTTTTTATGGACAGGGAAATAGTGAGAGGTGCCAAGATTAACTTGTATCCAATACTTTCAAGAGAACCAGAGTTTTGTCATTAGAAGAATTAGATAATTCCTCCTAAACATGGCAAAGCATTCTGTCAATTTTATTAGTTTAATAAGTTTATTAGTATTTCATCTCCTCTTCCACATTATGAGCTTCTGAAGACTGAAAAGTGTTTTGATCAAATGAGTACCAAACACCCAGGCAGTACATACAGATCGAGTGAGACTAGAGCTAGTGAGATTAGGTCTAGTGAGACTAGCATGGACTCCAGGAGCCGGAATGAAACTAGTTAGAAAAGCAACAGTTCCCCTCCTGGAATGAATAAGAGTTGGAATCCAGCAATTATTTATATAACATTGTCTCAGCTCCAGTATTATTCTGCAATTGGACATTCATAGCTGGGAGAACAAAAGCCCAATCGAGGGCTGGATCAGTGAGATGATGTCTAAGCCTTAGAGTCCTAACCCTGAAATGATTATAACTGCCATAATGTAACCTCTCAGCATTTAACAAACTTGAGTGCCTTAAGCATTTTTCTGTAACTGCCATTCATGAGCTGCGGACAGCCAGTTCCATCTTTGAGAGGCCAGCTTGTAGGGAATGAGTTTTGGGTAAGATGATTCTTATTTCTCTAGGTTGGCCTGATTTGTCTTCCTATCTCATTGTGACACTTGCTGCTTTTTTTTGTAATAAAACTGTTGAATAAAGGATATAATGCATGAATTATGGATAAATAATTGTATGTAATGTTATCATTAAGTCTCTTTTCCTCACACAACCTCTCCAATTTCCTCTTTTCTGGAATGTACAAAAAGATGCCCAGACACTAATTAGCTCAGCAGAAGTCTAACTTTTCTCTGATAGTTTTTTCTCTGATGTGGAACCCAGATTCATTCACTCAGCAAATAAACCTTACCACAGCATAATTGGGTTATAGAATTTGCCTTCTATGTCTCTTACTGAAATCCCTCAAGTTTATTTTTAGTTCCCTTTGAGAAGTGATGAAATCTCTTTTATCTACACCAAAATATTACCCCGAAACTAAATTATAACTTGTAATAATAGCTAGCATTTTTTGAATATTCACTATGTGCAGGAACTGTGATAAACACTTGACGTAGATTATCTCATTTAATCCTCACAGAGACCAAATGAAGTGTTTACTGTCATTATCCTTATTTGATGAAGAGGATACTGAGGCTAATACAGAATTAATAGCTTGTCCAAGATCGTCTAATGTCAAGTAATCAAGAATGAATGCTCTGAAAACACACATACCAGCAGCAACCAGCATTTGTTTGAGGGGAAAACCTACAGAGAGCCAATAGTATCAGGTGAGCAGTTTTCTCAATGCCAAGTAACTACAAAAGGAACTGTTAGGCAAGATATCAGACTGAACAAGTCCCATTGTTCAGCTGTGGGGCTTTGCATCTGAGAGCCGAATTTCAGTGATCTAGGTGAATTGTGGCTTCTAGTTCTGAACTTCAACCCAGCCCTAGCCCATCCCTTGATATGATCAGAAACTCTGCCAGCTTCTTTTTATAGTGGTGTGGTATTGGACTCTCATCATTCTTCTGCCCAGATGATTGACTTAAACGCTCAGGTGTAGCCAGTTTCCATGTTGTCTTTTATCTTTGTGGGAAGCAAAGTTGCAATTGTCTCTTGGGAAGGCCACCTTGCTGGGTTTCTAGCTCAGGTAGCAGAACCTTTGCCCAGCAGCTTGCGGCGTATTGGTGGAACCTCTATTCAGGTATTACCATATGTTGCCAGAGTCCTGAGACTTAAGTAATTTGCAATAAAAATTTCATTAAACATCTGTAAGTGAATTTCAAGTGGTATCATAGTCTACAGTCCATGCTTTTCATGTGGTATATTTTTGTCTGATGGTCCTTGTTGATAATTTTAAGTACTTAGGTTCCATTCACTTATTTCTAACCCATGTAGCTCACCATTGTGGTATTCAGTGCTCCATAAATATTTGAGGTTTAATTTGGTTATGAATCATATAAAGAAGATACGCTGTTCACTGTGATGTTGAGAGGCATATCCACCGGCCTGTGTCTTGCAGAGAAGATGAGGCTTAAGAGTCAGTATGCTCTAGAAGAAATAATATGCCCAAATTCAGGGTTAACAACACCTGTTCAGTGGACGAATATCTTTAGATTTTTAATCAGAACTAATGATGCTAAGAACTCATCTCTGTGCTTGTTGGCTTAGGCAATGACAGGATTAGCCATTGTCTTGAATTTTATTTATTATAAATCGATTCATGTTATTTATAATATTTCCCAGATTAAATTTATAAATTTGTGAGCTTTATTAACATAAAGTGTCCTGAGCCCAGAGAAATAATCAAATTAGTAGTAGTAATACCTTTAACACCAAATATATGCTGCATAAAATCAGAGATGTTCTACTGAGTACTGTATTTGCCCAGTGCATAGACATTAGTTAAAATAGAGTAATTGCTCAGTTAATGTTTATTTGAGTGAATAAAATCACGAATGAGTTGTTTGGTATGAGATTTAATTATTAAATCATTTTAATGTTTTTCCATATCAAGATAATTGTTGTTAATTATGTTTACTATTTAAATTTGATAAATTAAAGGAGATTTCAAAAAATTCATGAAAATTTTGCATTATCTTAATTCTACTTTTCCATGAACTTTTACAAGCTCCCTCCTTTCATGAAATGGGCAAAGTGGCCATCTTTGCTTCTTTTACTATATCCAAATCATTTGGTTCTAGGTGGAAAAAGATGCTATCCCAAAATGAATATTTTTTTAAATCTTGTAACTACAGGTACACTCGGGTGTGTACAAATGAGTGTGTGCATGTGTTGGGTGGGACAATGATTTAAAATATGCACTCTTCTTTTTTAGATATATAAACCCACTCCCACAAAAAAAGAAAAGAAGAATGCTATTCAGGAGAAGAGCAGAGAAATTCCTTCTTTGTTCTTTGTAGTCAAATATTTCACATTGTATATAAGTGTGAGCCCTTACTAGTTTGATGGTTCCCAAGGTTCATTTCCTTGCACTTTGTTTTCCTCATTGATAGGAAGAGAATAAGAGACAATGACCTAAGAAGTTCAATGAGTGAATTAGTACTCACAAACTATGTAGACCAGCCCTTGGTGCAAAGTAAGCAGTCACTAAACATTTTCTATTTTTTTTTCCATATCCTATTATATCCTACCTATCAGCTTACTCAGATAATTTATTTATTAAATTATTTTTAAAGATTTTTTTATTTATTTGAAAGGCAAAGGTACAGAGAGACAGAGGCAGAGGTACAGAGAGAGAGAGAGAGAGAGAATGAGAGAGAGAGAGAGAGAAAGAGAGGTCTTCCATCCACTGGTTCACCCCTAGATGGTTGCAACATCTGGAACTGCACCAATCCGAAGCCAGGAGCCAGAAGCTTCTTAAAGGTCTCCCACATGGATGCAGGGGTCCAAGGATTTGAGCCATCTTCCACTGCTTTCCCAGGCCATAGCAGAGAGCTTGATCGGAAGTGGAGCAGCCAGGACTCGAACTGGCACCCATATGGGATGCTGGCATTGCTGGCAGTGGCTTTATCCACTAAGCCACAGCACCAGCCCTTACTCAGATAATTTAAACAAGTTGGGATGGTATAAATCTTCACTTCCACTTCAATATGTAGTGATCCTAGAGAGAAAATAGAAGATTCTCTAATTATCCTTTAATGAAAATTCAGGTAAAAAAAAAATAGAGAGAGAGATCCTCTTGTTGTCTGTTTTCTTTTGGTGAAACTGGAATTCCTGATACCCCTCCAATGCTCCTTGATACTGTCCTCAAAATCTGAGAATACTCTGGCTTTCTTTGTAGTGTTAAAAACTGGGACTAGGTTATATCTAGTCTAGACAATACAGGCAATCTCTTCTGATTCAGTCTCTGCCTATAAGACCAATTTTTCAAATTTTTCAGGGTTTGGAGAGAGCAAAATAAGGTACACACTTGATGTCTTCCTTTTTGAAAACGTCCCCTCTAATGTTGGAGGAAGAGGGTTAAACCAAAATGTGTGATGATTCTATTAAGACAAAGAGCGTTATAGAAAAGAAATGGGAGACATCTTCTGTATATAAAGAGAATCGAAAATGAATCTTGATATGAATGGAAGGGGAGAGGGAGTGGATAAGGGGAGGGTTGTGGGTTGGAGAGACGTTATGGGAGGGAAGCCATTGTAATCAATATTCTGTACTTTGGAAATTTATATTCATTAAATGAAAGTTAAAAAAATTAAAAAAAAAGAAAAGAAATGGGAATTTCATCAGGTCATGGAAAAGGTAACAACTCTAAATATAGCTCTACCATTATAAAGAACACATAGAAACATTTGACTGAATATCAAGGTGTGAAGATTTCTTCTGTGTTAGCTGAAGAGTTTTCTGCTTTGGGTTTCTGTAAACTTCTGTAAGCTTCTTTTCTTCCTGGCACATATCCATTTGATTTTATTCCCAATGACCCACCCTCTGACTCTCTTTAGATAATTTGAAAATACTGACTGTGCAGATGCCAAGGGTGAAAAAGATCATTATCCTCTCTGAACTCCACATAGGAACTGTTTTCTCATTCTAGAGGAGTTTTTGTAATCTCGGAAATATTTTTATCTGTACTATAATGACTAAAAAAGACTAATAAAAATGTATTCTTTAACTATGTTTTAATGGTCTTTGATAAAATGTCAGATCATAACAGCTTTATAATGAAAACAGAAGCAAAATTATTGACTTAAATGAAATACACATATAAAAGTTAAATGATTTTTAGTAACAACAGTATAATGAAAACTATATGGAATCTATCACTGCAGTATAAATATTTTAGACTCAATGATTTTCTGAATAAAAATATAAAGAATTCTATATCACACTGTGCTGTTTAGTTGAATGGGTTACTTCTGTGCCAAGATCATAATCCCTTTACATATTTAGGGCAGCAAGGTAGAATCAAAGGTAGCTAGAATTCTGGGGTCTATCTCCTCTCCTTGTGAGCAAGCATGACATTTTTACCTGGTAGACCCTGTAAATCTTACCAATTTCTGCACATAAATGAAATAGGCTGAACAACTGCTAAAGAATTTTTCATGTATTCATTCATTTAGTTTTCCAGTGGACATTTATTAAATACCTCCTATTAACAATATACCAGTGTATTACCTATGTGCAGGGGAATATAAGTGAATTAAATTGTTCACTGACCTGGAGGAGGTCAAAGTCTATAGGGCAAGGTAGATAACTAAATAACTAAGTGCATATCATATGCTGTATGTGCTGACCCATGAGAGCACATAGGAGAGTGGGTGTGATTTGACTGGGAATGAGATACATGGTGAGAGTACACATCACAGAAGATCTTTAACTGAATGCTGCAGATTTTGTGAAGTTCACTGAGAAGACTACTATGTGCTGTAATATCATTTTCCTAGTGTTACTGTGTATTCGTTCTGCGAGGAGGAGTGAGGTAGGGGCAAGAGGCAAGGAGTCATCACACAGACACCGGGAGTCAGGTGAAAGCAGACCAGAGACAAGCGGCCCACAGACTCATTTATTTCAGTTGGTTCAGCAGCTTATATAGCCGAGGCAGCCAGTCTGGTCAAGGGGCGGTTTATGCCCTAACCAATCACTATCTGTGGCCAGGCAGGCTCCATTGCCAGGTGGTTTCCCAGGGAGTTTCCGAAACCATTCCTAAGTAACTGATGCTCACTTGCCAGTGGCCATCTTGGCATGGCCTTTTCATTCCACCACATCCTAGCAAGTAATTTTCTATGACAATCTTTTTAATGGTTCTATACTACTTCACCATACGGATGTAACACAATTAATTTAATGAAAACCTAAATTTGGTCACTAGGATGGCTTTAGTTTTTAACAAAAGTAATCAACATCTATGCAAATATTCTCATTATTAAATTACTGTATGTATCCTTGATTCTATTCTTGCAATACAGTTCTAAATTCAAAATTACCATTTCAAAGGACCATTATGTTTTTGAAACCTAAATTTGTTGTCTTAAGTTACCCTTATTATTGTGTATATATTTGTGTTTAGACAAGCTTGATTGCAAGATATAAGCTTCTTTTTATTGTTGTTTGACCTTAGGTTACCCAACATTCATTATTGTTAGCTTCTTCCTTTTTAAAGGATGAGGATAATGATACTCATTTTAAAATTGCTACTTTAGGAAATAGAGCAGAGATAAATAACTACTAATTAAATATGCCATGTATTTTTGAAAATGGGGACAAGACAGTTACTAAATTCTGGCAAGATAACTCACATGTTCTAAATATTTTAAGTTGCTATCATCAA